AAACTCCGTGTTTCTCTGCGACAGCCCAGAAACCTGCTGATCTAGAGAAGATCTGTGGAGGAATGGGTCAAAATCTCTGCTGCAGTGAACCTGGTGAAACTACAGGAAACATTGGACCTCTGTAACTGCAAACAAAGCCTACTGTACCAAATATCAACATTGATATTCACAGGGGTCCAAATACTTATTTGCAGCAGTAACACACTAATAAATTATTTTAAAAAATCTTGCATTGTGATTTCCGGAAGAAAAAAAAAGATATATTTTTTAGATTATGTCTCTCACAGTGGACTTTCACCTAAGATGAAAAGTTCAGACCCCTCCATGATTTCTAATTGGGAGAACTTGGACAGTTGCAGGGTGTTCGAATACTTATTTTCCTCACTGTATATATATATTTGACATCATGTGCGCAGTTGAGTTTAGATTTGTGAAAATGTTGTCATTGAGAGAGTAAATGTCATGAATAAATTTGACATTAAACATAATCCAAGTTGAAGTTTTACATTATTTTCAGCCCCCTTATTTTTGGCATCTATATTTGTTAGCAGGCCAAATTGACAACGACCATGCAGAATAGTGTAGTATTTTAATTTGACAGCAGCAAAAGCTATAAAGCTATGTAGTATCTGTAAGTAGGTCTAGGAAAAAAAATATTGGTATCGGTTATCGGGCAAATAAGTTTTAACATATCGGCATATCAGATATCTGCCAAATATCCAATATCATGCATCCCTATTCTGGCAAAGATTAAAATGTTCTGGATAAATATTACCCTAAAACAAAATAAATACTTGATTAGGTTTGGGGGAGGGACATCTGTCTTAGACTTCAATTTTAAATGTAAACATTTCTAAAAATGAGAAATACAAACATTTGATTAAAAAACATAATAATGTCATGTGCTGGTGTTTTGATCTAGAAACCCAACAGAACCACGTTTAAACTGGTTGAAATTAGATTGATTTGACGACTTTTGACCCACTAGTGGTGAAAACATTCTTAAGACTTAAGGCGCATTAGTGGATCATATTTGGAAACTTGTGCAGCAGATTAATCCGACAGATAAAGGTGAAAAAGCAAAAACATTATGTGTAGTCATAAACAGCTTGTCTGCTTAGCCTCAAGACTTAATTATGCATAGTTTAGGTTTTTATCCTGAAATATGTCCATTTTTAAAAGTGCACAGGACAAACAACTTTAAGGCTAAAACATGTCAATTGGTTGTTGTCATCAGGAGTCACAAACAAACAGTCCACTTCTAATAATAAATATTAAAACGATGTGACTAAAAGATCTTCGCAGCATTTGTGCTGCTGCTCCAACTTCTAACAGACTGTAAAAATCCAAGTGAACACAAAATGACCACATTTAGACGCATGAACTCTAATATCCAGAGAACCAAAACCAAAAGAAATGTTAGCGCCAGAGGCTCATGATGGTCACCATGGTAACCATACCCTTGTTTCTGTCACTTCCTGACTGCTAAGTTAATGAGAGGTAGACAGAAACGCAGACTAAAAGTAAGCCTTAAACAAGCAGTCACTGTGTGAATAGTTTCTTCTTTTTGTTGGCTGCTCCATTCTTCAGGGGTCATCACACTGAGTGAGGTTGGCTGGGGGTGATGCTCATTAAAGTAAGGGTGTAGGCAGGTGTGGGTGCTTCACCTTTCCCACACATGTGATGCAACAGTAGGGGATTTGAACAAACTTAGAGCCAAATCTCATTCGTGTAGAAACTATAAGTCCAATCTTCAAAATTCTAGAAACGTAAGCGTCAAAAGACTGATGGTCCAATGTGTGCATTTTTTATATTTCTTCTTCTTTTGGCTTTTCCCTCTTCAGGGGTCACCTCAGCAAGACATCCTCCTCCATCTCACTCTGTCCTCACTCCAACTATCTCCATGTCCTCTCTAACTGCATCCATATATCTCCTCTATGTATTTTTCCTGGCAGCTGCATTTTTAACATCCTTCTACCAGTATACCCACTGTCTCTTCTGGACATGTCCAGACCAGTGGTGTAGTCTATGTAATACGTGGACATACGGAGTATACCCATTATAAAAGCTTGAGAATTTCAGTATATCCACTTAAAAGTGCCGAATGACACATGACATATCATTAGACACGTTATTGATACAGTAAATGGAAGTTGAACGCTTTTGTAACAATCTGTATGCAGCGCTTGTTTATTCGCTTATCCAGTGAATAATTGTACAATACTTCTGTACTTACTACTTAATACTTGAGCATGTTTTGCTTTGATACTGTTTTATAAATTCTATAACATGTTTTAAATACAAAACCAACTGTTGTGCAGTTTGTTGTACATTTACTGAAATATAAGCATCAGAGAAATTTTGGAAATGTCCAAAATGCTTAAAAATCAAAATGAATTGACAATTACATTGTACTAACCGGTGTACTTTGGTGTCTAAGCACAGTGTACCCACTACAAAAATGTAGACTACACCACTGGTGCAAACCATCTCAGTCTGGCCTCTCTAACTTTATCTCCCAGTTGTTCAACCTGTGCTGTACCTCTGATGATCTCATTCCTAATCATATCCATCCTTGTCACTCCTAAGAAGAACCTCAACATCTTCATTTCTACTTCCAGTTCTTTCTCCTGTCTTTTTGTCCATGTCTCTGTCTCCAGACTGTACAACATAGCTGGTCTTACCACTGTCTTGTAAACTTTTCCTTTGACCATTGCTGACACCCTTTTGTCACAAATCACTCCTGAAACTTTTCTCCATCCACTCCATCCTGCCTGGACTCTCTTCTTCACCTCTTTACCACACTCCACATTTTCCTGGACAGTGGACCCCAAGTACTTGAAGTCCTGCACCTTTGTGACCTCTGCTCCTTGTAGCCTCACTGATCCACCGGCCTCCCTTTACCAAAATCCCATTAAGTTCCCTTGAGTCCCCCCTTGCATTATGTATTCATTTATTTATTATGTTTTTAGCTAGTGTCATCTGCATTGTGCAACGTGCTGTTTCCAAAAGTCAAAACACTTTATTCCTGCAGGCAAACTTGGTGTATATATAATTTGCATGTTTTCTTTTAAATATGTACCTACAAGAAATAGGACAAATACTTAGCACAGTAAGAGGAGTGCTTTAATGTTTAAATATTGACACCTTTAATAGAAATAGGCAACACCCTTGCTAAATGAGAAAACACACACACACAAAACAAACAGGCACTTGGTAATGATAATTCATCCATCCATCCATCCATTATCTTTACCCGCTTATTCCATTTTGGGTCACGGGGGTCGCTGGTGCCCATGTCCAGCAATCACTGTGCGAGGGGCGGGGTACACCCTGGACGGGTCGCAAGTCCATCACAGGGACACATAGAAACAAACGAGACAAACAACCATTCACTCTCTCACTCACACCTAGGGACAATTTAGAGTCACCAATCAGCCTAACATGCATGTTTTTGATCTGTGGGAGGAAACCGGAGTACCAGGAGAAAACCCACGCATGCACGGAGAGAACATGCAAACTCCACCCAGAAAGGTCCCTGGACCGGGGTTTGAACCAGGGACCTGCTCGCTGAGAGGCAGCAGCTCTACCAGTTGTGCCACCGTGCTGCCCAATGATAGTTCTACTGAGGGAAAAAAATTCAACAACGTGAACAAAAAAAAAAAACTTTATTATTCAATCATACTACTGTCACCGTTCAAAGAGTTTGATATGTTATCATCTAACAATAAAGGTGCTATAATAAGAAACAAGAGAGATTATTAAAATAAAACGTATAGACAAAACATATTTGATAGTTATACTTTTATGTCAGTAGCTTTTGTGTATTTTTTTATGCGCTTGTATTGAAATGTATATTTTAGACTAATGTACTTTACTGGTTGTATTGATTTGATATTTTTACTTGACAGGTTTCTCTTGCAAATGAGGCAATTGTGTTTAACAAAAATTAACCTATATAAAGGAAATTAAGAGACAGGACATACATATATATATATATATATATATATATATATATATATATATATATATAATTACTCTTCACGTTCAACACACCAGTAGCTCGTGCCCTCAAGCGCGCGCTCAAGCCACCCACCACCTCAGGATGCCTGTGCGCATGCGCAATGGCATCGAACAGGTGCGTGACGTCTATCCAGTCTTTGTCAAAAAGAAAATAAAACGCAGGCGACGTTAATTTCAATGTTTAATCCCCCGCTGTGTTTCCCAGCCACCCCTGTAAGGCACTTCTCAGTCAACAAGATAAAAACGGCACATTCTGGTTTAGGAGAAATAAGAGGCACGAGCCTGTTGTGTCGCGTGCTGGACGTCCGTAACCTCGAGGTATGACCGTGAGGTTTGACAGTCAGTGACGCTTTAATGGAGACACGGAGCAACAAATGAGTTAAGAACCGCAATGAGTGTTTCATGTAAAGGTGGAATACACGTTTGCTTACATTTAAAGCTCAATAAAAAGCTGCATGCAAACCGAACACGACGTTTAGCCTTTGGTAAGCACAACAAAGCGCTCACCTGCCCGCTCAGGTCACCTTTTATCCGGATGCTTCTCGCTTCACAAGATGCAGCAAAACACCTTCCAGCGGCTGAAGGGCGGCAGCTTCACACAAACTGCTGCCTTCGCCTAAAACGGCTCCCGTAGGGTTACAAGCAGCGCCATTGTTCAACTGCAACTGGTCCTGTGTCCTCAAGGGGTGTCCAGCACGGCTCTGTGGAGCGTCTTTTAGTCTCCAAGCCCTGCGTGGAGTTAATGTCGTCAAATATGAAGCAGCACAGAAGAAGAAGCGAGCCGAACTTGCGCATGTGCGCTCGGTGGTGTAATGGCGACATCTAGTGGCAGCTTTGGTGAATAACAGTTACCCAAAAAAAATCCATCAAATCTTTATTTCCACTCAGATCTTTATTTCAAAGACTCTTTTCTTGATACAAATTATGTACAATTTCATTGAAAGAACAAATACATATAGTCACAAACTGAGGCGCACAGACGTAAGGAAAAGACAGATTTGCATGCACATTAAATAATTAAGTGTTTAGACTGTGTCCAGTGTCCAGTGCAGGTTGTCTTGAGAAGGTTTTGATTGGTGGTGATGAAGAGGGGGGGGGAGGTTAATATAGGGCTCATTTACCAGGGATCAACACTGTCAGAGCTGCAAGAGAGAAAGAAAAAATCAATATTTATGTAGTTTTAATTCAGACCAATATGAGATACATAAAACTTTTGTCAGATTAGCTACTTTGGTGTCAATATTACAGTATTTTAACGCTATATTGCACTGACAGCCCTTAAATGTATTTGTTTATTGTAAAGACAAAGTAGATTTTGAAATCCCACGCATCCTTTTTTCATTACGCTGGACTCATAGGGCTTTAATAATAAATGTAGCCCAGTAAGCCTGCAGCAGCATCAGGCTGTCTTGGATGACACGCTCAAACTGTATTCAGGTTGACACTTGTCCTTTTTGTGAAATGATCACTGGATTTAGGGAGAATCCCACAATGTCGTTTTCTCACCGTGGCTCTGTGTCTTGACTAGAATCGGCCCCGAACAAGAGCCAGGCCACCGCCTGCTCAGGGGACGACCTCTTCCCGTACCTGCAAGAAGAAAAGCAAACACCTGTATGTAATGGCAGCAATCTAACATTACATTAACATTAGAGGAAAGGTTTTCTGTGCTTTTCAAAGTGCTCTCTCAGCTGTGACCCCATCAACCCTGCTATGAATTTCAGCCATGAGGAATCATTTTTTTCTCCCAGGAATCATCAAGCAGTGACAAAAGGTAAACTGCAAACACCCCGTCGAGCCTTTGTGCTTCTTTCTGCAATCTCTGCAACCCAATCACAATCACACGTACAGTTACAGTCTGCTCTGACTTTGATTCTGTGCTGAGGACTAAACCTTTGCAGAGGTGCATCCAGCGTGGGTTTAATTACACAGAGAAGAGGTTTGTCTGAGAGTAAAGTTATTATTCAGCCTTTTCAGCTAAAGACAAGCTAAAAGAGGAGGCACAGCAGTGATCTCACTCTGATAAGAAGAAAGCATGACCTCAAAGTGCTCAATGACTCACTGAAAAAAAGATGGAGTGGTTTAAAGTCACTCCTCTGGGAGTGGAGAATTAAACTTTACAGACAGTCCATAAATAATAATATTAATAATAATAATCTCAACCAGAAGGGTTTAAAACGAGCCTGACCTCTGTCTGGTGATGAGGTTGACATAATGCCTGACAGCAGCGTGGTACTTGGCCCACTCCTCCGGTGAGGCGTTGGTTCCGGGGCTCTCCGGTTTGGGGGGGTAGGCGTCCGCGAAGCCGCTCCAACACACCAGGAGGCAGAGGACGAGAGCCGCCAACATCAGCCACGATCTCAGCATTCTGGCCATCTGAGGAGAGAAAACAAGACATGGCAACACGTTGCGCAAAAGATGAGTTTTAGCTGCGCGCGCTGTGCGTCAGAGTCCGAGGACTTACAGTTTCTGACTGCTGTGCTGCTGTTGTCCCCTCGGTGCTCCTGTCCTGCTTCTGTCTCCTCAGTCCACAGACTTTGATATATATAGTGAGGGATGGACACCTGATGCGCTCCGAGGAACACGTGAACCACTCCTCTCTCTGTGCGCAAGAGCGCTGCGTAAAACCTGGCCAATTACACAAACTTTCACTCATCCCTTCTGCTCTGTGTCAAGTTGAACAAAAGAACACGTAAGGAATATGAAAGAATATGAAGACGGGGGATATGAAGAAATATGAAGAAGGAATGCGTTTGTTTTTCTGGTGTGTGATGGTTTTACTTCATGCGCAAACAGTGGTTTTAAAGCCTGCTGGAGTATCCAGACTGACAACGCACCCGCAGTAATGTTTGTTTTTATTATCAATTAAAAGCCCAGCGTTGCTTGAATGAATGCACATCACCCGCCACCTTTCATGCCGGAGTTTTAAACTAAGCGCGTCTTACCATCATGAGTTGTATCCGTTTTGGCCAAACACTGGATGAGCAATCTCAGACAATGTTCCGAGATGTTGCGCAGTCACGTGGTGTATCTAGGTGTCAGCTGCGACCACTCTAACTTTTAGCCCATTATCTGAAAAAATGACTGCGATATAGCCATTTTTTGTGTTGGATACGTTTGATTGGCTGCAGCGGCCATCTTAAACTCAAAGAGCTGCAGATGTACACCTGATGATTACTTTCTGAAAGTTTTATCAAAATCCAATCAGTGGTTCACGAGATATTTTGCTAACAGACAGACATAACTGACCACAACAATTTCAAAGTTTTAAACAAATCTGTCACATTATTTGTTAGAGCTCAGAGTATTGCATGTGTTAGGGGTTAGTTTCAGCAACCACCACACGAAGTTTTCCTAAAATATCTCTCAAATTTATTGAGTTACACCCGATTTTATGTTTTCTGAGGTAAGAGAGCTGAGGCAGCCATCTTGAATGGTTATGACTCCAAAAGTGAATCATCTGGAGATGTGCATCCAATAATTAATTTCTGGGAGTTTACATCAAAATCTGTCAAGTGTTTTATGAGATATTTTGCTAACAGACAGACATAACTGGCCACAACAAATTTAAAGTTTTAAACAAAACTGGCACATGATCTGTTAGAGCTCAGATTACGTGTTAGAGGTTAGTCTCAGCAACCACTACACGAAGTTTTCCTTAAATATCTCTCAAATTGATTGAGTTACACCCAATTTTATGTTTTCTGGGGTAAGAGAGCTGAGGCAGCCATCTTGAATAGTAATAACACCAAACGTGAATCAGCAGGAGATGTGCATTCAATAATTATTTTCTGGGAGTTACATCAAAATCTGTCAAGTGGTTTTTGAGATATTTTGCTAACAGACAAAATATACATACACAGAAATGAGCAAACACCAGATCAGTAGCTCATAGTGACCTGCCTGTCTTCATCACTAGTCCTGGGTTACATTTCAGATGTGTTTTTACTGACGAGGCGCAAGAAGAACCAGAGAGAACTCAGATAAAACAGTCAAGACTTTCTTGTCTCTTTGTTTTCTTGTATTTCAATCTGCTCACTGTCATTTTCAAGACATTTAGTCTGAGATATTTCTGATCGGTGTTTCATTAATCAGCTATAAAGGTACGATTTGTTTACGTGAAGCAGAAACTTTTGACTGTAACACCAGCGGGAAGCTCCTGCAGGAGTTCCTGTCTGGGCGTTTTGCCGTAAGTCCCCGGTGCTCTCATCAGCCCTGCTGCATTATTCAAACGGTGATGAAGCTTTTCATCTGGTCTGCAGAGCCAGCTCATAGAGCACACGCAGATCAATGTTGGACGCAGCCGTATGGAAACGTGTCGAGCGCTTTGCGGAAAGTCATCTGATGCTGTAAATGTCTAAAGATTGAATTCAACGACTCACGGTGCCGATGCTTCAAACATCCAGACCGTTCCATTTACACTTAGACCTGCACAGAAACATGTGAACGGGGACATTAAAGGGATTCATGTGGTTTAAGGATGCTTGTTTTCCACGCGGGCTCTCATAAAACCAGTTTGAACACGTTTATGGTGCGACCGGCGCGGTATAGCTCCGGTTTATCTTCACGGTCTGCTGTTCAGGCCGTGCCGCCCAGCCGCTCTTATCCTGCTGTCTCCTTGAGAGCACGCGTGCAAACATTTGCAGCCGATTTTAAGGAGCATTAAAAGCGTCTTTATTTTTCTGCGCCCCTTTTCTTGGTTGATGACGCCGTCGCCGCTCCGCACACAAACACTCCATCAGGTGCTTCAGGTCTTTGTCCGTTTGAAGCTTTACGTCTTGAGATGTTGCTTCATGTTCACCTTCTTTTCCTCATGACGTCTAGTTTGTGCAGTAAAAACATGATGCTGCCACCCCCGTACTTGATAGCTGGGATGGTGCAACCATCTCTCCCATTTTTCTCCAAATGCAACAATGGTCGTTAGGGCCAAACAGTTCAGTTATACAGTAGTCCCTCGCTCTTTCGTGGTTTTTCAACGATTGTCAACTTTAATATTATTCCCGTGATTGGTACGGTATGGGATAAAACGTTAATGTAAAAAAAAATAATACTTGGGACAGGAGACGCCATTTTGTAGTTTTCTTTCAATAAGCCTATACCATAAAGCCAGTTAAAAAGAACTACACCACCCAGAAGCCAACAGTGCTTCCAGCTGCTGCTTTCTGCATGGAGGGAAAATTTTGCGATGCTAATCTACGCTCTCTATGAAGCTCACAGAACTGACAGGGAAGTCGCAAATAATCCTGAAGCTCAATTACCCACGCGCACATCAACCTGGACGGGGTGGTGGACTTCGTCGCTGCTGGGTAGTTCTGCAGAACCAGAACTGAGCTGCTGGTCTGCAGAGCTGGTGAGTAACGTTTAATAGCTACATACACGTATGTTGTTAAAGTGACATATGTTTTCCCCTTTGGATTTATGATAACTGGATTCTGCTTTTTTGGAGTAGGTGGAAATCTGGATTGTCAACAAATTTGGAAACGACAGCAGCTGTTTAAAATGTCTGGAATGTGTGTGCCGGGCTTGGCAACACTCAGACTCTGTGCGAACTATCTGTGGACCTGTATCAGAGCTGAGCAGGCAGGACTGTACGTGGCAGTGTTCATGGAGAGCAGCTTCGGATGTTATCAGTCCATTAAATGGCCGTTATTAGTTGTTATCATCCCCATATGTAGCAGTCAAACTGTCCCACCTACCTCCTAGTAGGTTTAAAGGTACATTATTATCTGACAGACAGCTCACCCAGCCGGAGACAGAGATTCTTGCCAGGGGACTGAACTTTGCGGTTGCACCAAGTAGAATTCCTCTGGTGGAGATGATCACAGCTACTGAGTCAGCCATCCGCAACAACAAAATTAAAGAGGCTGAAGCAGAGCAACTCAGAATCAAAGTTTCAGCCTGCCTCAGCAATGCCAAACCACCACCTTCCAACATCAGTAGAGAGGAGAGGGATGCACTCACCACTCTTAGCAAGGACAAAAACATCATCATTCTCCCAGCAGACAAAGGAAGGTGCACAGTGATTTTGAACCAGAAAGACTATCATGAGAAAGTTATGACACTCCTTAGTGACTTAAACACTTATGAACCTCTGAAAAGAGATCCAGGAAGTGGTTACAAGAAGATATTGATAGATTGCCTGAAAATTTTGGAGCAGGACAAGGCTATTGACCATTTTCTGTACCACAGACTGTACCCAGGGGAGGCCACACCTAGTCTGTATGGTTTACCTAAAATCCACAAACAAGGTGTACCTTTAAGACCTATTGTTAGCATGATTAACTCTGTCACTTACAATGTTTCCAAATATCTGGCGTCTGTACTCATCCCTTTATTTGGCAGCTCAGAACACCACATACAGAACACCATGGACTTTGTGGATAAGGTGAGGGATGTCATCATGGAGACTGATGAAACAATGGTCTCTTTTGATGTCACATCACTCTTTACGTGCATTCCTGTTGATGATGCAGTAGAGGTGGTCAGTTTAAGATTAAAATCAGACACCACTCTGAGCAGCAGGACCACGCTTTCCACAGAACAACTGTGTCAACTCTTGAAACTGTGCCTGCAGTCAACCTACTTCACATATGGGGAGCAATATTATAGGCAGAAACATGGGTGTGCTATGGGGTCTCCAGTTTCTCCTATTGTTGCCAACCTGTACATGGAGGAGGTAGAAAAGAGAGCCTTGACGTCCTTTTCAGGGACACCACCAAGTCATTGGTTCAGGTATGTTGACGACACCTGGGTTAAAATTAAATGTCAGGAAGTCCAACATTTTACTGACCACATCAACTCTGTGGATAAATACATCAAGTTCACACAAGAAGATGTAAAAAATGGCAAGTTGGCTTTCTTGGACTGTGAGGTCTCAGTCTCTGATAGAGGACATTTGCAAACTGAGGTGTACCGCAAACCCACCCACACAGACCAGTATTTGCAGTTTGACTCCCGTCACCCTTTGGAGCACAAGTTAGGAGTCATCAGGACTCTGTATCACAGAGCAGACAGCGTCCCCACTAGCTCAGGAGCCAGGCAGAAGGAGAAATCCCACACAAGACAGACTCTAGAGCAATGTGGATATCCTAACTGGGCCTTCCTAAAAGCAGAGAAGAAACCCAACAGGACTCCAGTCAGCCATCAGGTGAAAAGGAGGAACCCTAACCCAGACCAGTGGTCATTCCATATGATGAGAGAAACTGAGACGTTTATTTTCTAAACATAACGTCCCAGGTGGCTTTTAAACCCCAAAATACATTACGGCAAAGACTGGTTCATCCCAAAGATCCAGTTCCCCGGCACAAACAGAGTAATGTTGTGTATGCTGTTCAGTGTCAGGAGGGCTGTGATCAGTCTTACATCGGGGAAACAAAACAGCCACTGGCCAAAAGGATGGTCCAGCACAGAAGATCAACATCATCAGGCCAGGACTCTGCGGTCTACACTCATCTCCAGGCCAGCGGTCACTCTTTCAGGGATGAAGATGTTCACATCCTGGACAGAGAGGAACGATG